ATGACGAGTTGATTGGCACAGAGCATAAGAAMCYTTCTCGTTGCCTATARCCGCCGGCCACTGTTTCCGTCTCACTCAAATTTCGAACTGACTAGGATTCGCTGGGTGTGTTGTGCACACCTCCCCTATTTAACAACGAAATAGTAACAAGCCGCCTCGATCAACAGCAGGTACATATGCCTCATCACCGTAGACTGGACGTGATCTTCTTTTGACTGAACCCTTCCACCTTATCACACTTACTTCCTTCCACCTTATCTCTCTTATTTCCCTTGATCACACGAAGTGATACATCCAAGAACCAGTCAGGCGCGACCGTGTACACATTACACGCTGGTCAGCATCGTTACCAATGGCGAGCTTTCCCCTCGACGAGAACAATGAACACTTCTCCCTCTCTCCCCTCTGTTTCAAGAGGTGCGGAACACTTCTCTCTCTCTCTCTTCTGTCTCAACGGGCACGGAACACTTCTCTCTCTCTCTCCTCTATCTCAACAGGCACAGAATACTTCTCTCTCTCTCTCCTCTCTCTCTCTCTCACTGCGCACCCACCTTCTCTCTTCTGCGTGCGCACTCTCCCTTTCCCTCTCTCTCTCTGTCTCATGTCCCTTTCCCCCGGCGTTGGATCGTAGGCTCACTTGCCCATGCATAGTCTGAATCCGCCGAGTCATACACCATGGCAAAGTACATCCCCACGTTTCTCGACCTGGCTGTCCTAACGCACGGATGAGCAGGTGCAGAAGAGGGTTGTGTATGTAAGGTGCATCCGTCCTCCCATCACCCTCTCGGCCACTGAACGAAGCCGAGCTCCCGCCGTGCGTACCGATTCGCTGCACGCCGAACTCTCGCCTCGAACTGCAATGGTTGAGTTCTCGCCTGCGCACACCTCTCCGACCAACTGCGTCTCTGCCGTCCGAATCGGGCTGTAATGTGGGCGGGGTACACCTGGCAAGCTTCCTGCCGGTCTCCTCCCTCTGAACGTCCCTAAACTTTTCCCCGGTCCGTCTATATGCAAGTGAGAATCTCCACATGTGCCACATTAGCCCGACACAGTCCCCAGGTCCGAAACGGTAGGGCCCGACAGTTCCCAAGTCCGAAACGGTAGGGCCCGATAGTCCCCAGGTCCGAAACGGTAGGGCCCGACACACCCCGAAAACGCACAGCAGACCCCGGGCTTTCAGGCCCCGAACAGGTAGCAGCGGGGTAATCCGGCACCCGGATTGGACATCACAACCGGACTGCACCAAACTGTCGTATTATCAAGCCCACCCCCAAATCAAGCAACTTGAGTTGTCGCGATCCGGAAAAAGACAGCAGCCTGTACAGTGCCTACGCCGAACTTGAACTAGTCAACCGACCGCCGTAACCCACATCACGTTGTCATCGGCCACGAACGTGATACATCCCATTTTTGAGGCAAGCCTGAGTCTGAAGTCCCTGTCGTCACGAAAGCACTTTTTACGGCAGGCCAGTCTCAAGCCCGTAGACAGGTGAAACACTGCTGAACACCACAACCCCCGTTTAGTGCCGGATCATAATCTCGCCAATACTGACACCGGGTTAACCGATCTACACCGGAATAGCCCATACCAGACCAATGTCGAACTGAGATAATCAGCCGGTGCCGAAACACGCCGATGTCGAACCATCTCCGAACCTGAAACAACTGTCTCGAACGGCAGTGGCCTGAATCACGCTGATGCTGAACCAATACCAACCCCGAAATTGATCGGCGGTATATACCTCAATGATGCCGAGCCATGATTGAACATGAGATAAATGTGAAATGCCGATGCCGTGTCCAATGTTGGACCTGAAGCATGTCGATATCGAGCTCATGTAGCCCTGCCGTAGCAGTTCGGAACGTTCCCCAAACCTCATGTCTCTACCGGAACAACGGCCATACTGACACAACGGAGTCGAGCAGCTCAATTGAAGTAAAACAACAGTAACACTACGGCAGCCATCCACGCCCACACCGATAACACACACACTCGTAGCTCATGGGTCGCAGTAAGGCTAGGAGTCCGGGAAATCAGATAGGCCATGCGATCAATCTCAATCATTTCGAAGCAGTGAAGATCGGTAGAAAATAGAGCAAATAAATAATCCGGGATTAATTCCGATTGCGAACAAATTGAACAAAGTTCCATCAGTCATCTAATAATCACGGTTTTTCGCCCTTCTCTGCATTTTTATTCACATTTCTTATTTCTTAATTCCATTATCAAAATTAACAAAAACAAAAACAATCTCGTCAGAATTTAATTCCGATTAATTTTGACTAAATATCAAAAATCCCTTGTTCTCTTCCTCTTTTAATTGCTTTTGATTTTTTTTCATGTTTTTAATTTTATTACCTGAAATATCGATAAATGAGGGCGACCCCATCAAAATTTAAATAATGACGTTTTCAAATAATTTAATGAATATTTTGTTTTTCTTTCCTCTTCTTTTGGTTTTAAATTCTTTTCTTACATTTTTAATTTTAATATTAGTTTTAATCAAATAAGGGGCCCCGTCCTCGCGCTCATTGGCCCCATTAAAAGGGCCTTGTCAAGGTTCATCCTCAATTAACCGCCGCGCAGCCAGTCGTTTTTGGAACAGGCCTAGAGCGGGCGGAAAAGAGGTAAACAATAAGTTAGCCGTGAGGGGGGCGAAGCGGTAGTCCCTCTCATCAATTTTGAGGGCTAGTCTTGATGGTTGACACATCTGAAATTAGGGGTGACCTGACTACCCCTAATTTTCTCCCAGCCGGTCAGACAAGACCCCCGACCGATTACCTCTCAGACAACTTTTCTACGGGTCAATCTCCCGATATTAGGGCGACCGAATGACCCTCGGTCGCCCGACAAACAAGCCCGGACCTCGTCTCGACGTCCCCGTTGAGCCCGCTCCTCCAAGGTCAGACGAAACGCACCAGATCTAAGTGGACCACTCGTGCTCGACGCAAGTGCCTCTTGTTGTTTGTTTGACGTCTGGGTTTCTTTGGAACTCTGGGGCTGAGAGGGTGCTTCTTCCCTTTCTTATGTCGTTGTCGTTTGGACTTCGACGCATAAACATTTCTTAGCTTCTTCCTTCTTTGGGAAGGGCGTGCGTCAGCAGCGCCACCCTTCCTAATGCGGACCCTGCGCTTTGGTCTTTGCAGAACAAAGACTCATTTCTTAATTTTATTTCTCTTGCCCACGACTAAGCCTTTCACTTTCCTGGTTTCCACCCTCTTTCTCTTTTTCGAACTCCCACCTACCTCGAACCGTCTTGACGGTCCTCCGTTCGTTATCTTAGCATTTCCCTTTCCTTGAAGGTCTGATGGTCTCGGAGCAGGAGTAGGAGTCTCCCTCGACCTAAATAACTTCAGTCTAGCTCCCGCCACTGGATCCTTCCACTTTGACCCATCTAGCTCAGCAATCATATAAGCTCCCCAACTTAACGCACCAACCACACGATAAGGTCCCATCCATCTGTTAGCTAGTTTCCCCGTCCATGTTCTTTCCAAGGCGACGTCGTAAAGGAGCACCATGTCGCCACCCTTGATCTTTTCCTTTCTGATTCTGACGTCTTTGTCCCATCTCACTTTGTTCTTCTCTCTCTCCACTGCCAGCTGATTAGCGGCAGTCAGGAGATTATCTTCTAGACCGTAAGCTATCTGTCTGGTCCTTGCTGCTAGTAGTTCCTCCCGTGTAATGCTATCTGCCCAGTTAACCGTAGTCCAACTGTCAATATGAAACTCTATGGGCAGAGGACAGTGCCTTCCAAACCATAGTGTGTAAGGAGGGTAGCCTGTACTAGCTCGCACAATGACATTGTCCGCCCATATCGCATACCTGAAATACTTCGGCCAGTCGCTATCCTTCCCTCTGCACCACTTGGATAAGGACGCAATCAATGACTTGTGGCCTCGCTCTACAGGTGCATTGGACTGGGGATGATAGGCAGTAGCAATAGATACTCTAGCTCCTGCTTTCTTGAATACGCTCTGTACCTCGTCTGCTAGGAACTCTGCCCCTCTATCCATCACAATCTTACTGACACATCCATATCTAGACAGATACTCCAGGACGAAGTTCTTAACTTCTCTTGCTGCCTTTGTCCTGATAGGCTTGCCATCGACGAAACCAGTGAAATCATCCCTGATGTTAACTACATAGTTCATGTTCCCTACACCCTTTAGCATCTTCACTAAATCAATATGCACTTTCTCTCCTGGTCTAGTAGGATATGAAGGATGAAGTGGCTCCTTATATCTGATTAGGGACCTCTTATGGCATTCCTCACAAGTTTCGCAATACTTTTCAACGTCTTTGTATTGTCCTTCCCACCAATATAGTCTGCGAACCTTCTCGTATGTACCCTTTACTCCTCTATGTCCTCCAACTACACCGTCATGTAACTCAGTTATCATGGACTGTTTCTCTTCTGGATCGCAGATCACCCGAAGAGGCATCCCCGCTCCCACAGGTTGTCGGAACAGATGCCCTGCCCTAAGGCAATACTGTGCTGCGTGTCTCCAGATTTCCGATTCGGAACTCTCCTCGCCCGATACATGTAATCCTATAGTGCGGTACTTATCTTCATAAAGATTGACTAGGAAGCGATCCGTTCTTTTAGGCTCAGCCATAGTCAGCGCAACAACTGATATTGGCCGCTCTGCCTCGATGAGAATTCGTGAAAGTCCATCGGCTACAGCGTTCTTCGCCCCTGAAATCCTCTCTACAGTATAGTCATAAAGCCGAATCTTGATCAGCCATCGTGCGATCGTAGGATCCGTCAAAAACTGAAATCCTTTTGTAGGACCGAAGCTACAGCTGTAGGGTCTACTCTAAGAACTAATCGTCTTCCGTATATGTAATGCCTAAAGGTATCTAAGCACCGTAGAATAACCAACACTTCCATCTTAAACTGACTATAGTTTCGTTCCGCAGTGTTGAGTGTCCGGCTCTCAAACCTCAATGGCCTCTCTTTGCCCTCGGCGTCCTTTTGAGAGAGCAATCCCCCAACCGAACATGGTCCGACATCCGTAGATACTATGAACGGTCAGCCCGTCTCGTCCTCAAAGAATGACACACCGAGAATTTTTCCGCCTTCTTTAAATTCTTCCTTGAGGGTTTGCACTGCTAACTCTTGAGGAGATTCCCAGTAGAACTTCTCGGTCTTCCTAAGGAGTGTGCGCAGAGGTTCCGCCTTTTCCGCATATCCCCCTATAAAAATCCGCCAATAACCAACAACCCCTAAAAACTGGCGGACTTCAGTTGCACTGTGCAATGGAGTCGGCCAATTCAACAACTTTTCCAACTTTCCAGGATCGGGGCGTCGGCCTTTCGCATCACATATAAACCCTAAAATTTTAATCGTCGATACGGCCCATCGACTCTTTGTCCCGCTAACCATCACGTTAGCTTCATCTAGTTGTTCCAAAACATCGTAAATGTCCGTCAGGTGTTGTTCTACGAACCTCCTTACGCCAGGAGCGACTTCCGTCTCATCTTTCAACACCGGTCCTTTTATCGGAAAGTCGTTCACGAAAACTTCTACTTTGTCTGGGATAAAGTCTTTCAGAACCGCTACCACGACTCTCTGAAAGACCACTACCCCATTGGTCCATCCCATCGAAACGACCATCATCTGCACTAATCCGAGCGGCGTGTGCATGGATGTGAGATGCCTATCTCTCGGGTCTAGTGGTATCTCGTCATATCCTGAAAATAAATCACAAACATAATAAATGGATCTGCCTGCCGCTCCCTCTGCTAGTAGATCAGCGTGGGGTACAGAGCCAACATCTCGAATTGTTACCGCATTGACCTTCTGAAGGTCGTGAATCCATCGAATCTTTCCGTTAGGCTTCCTTAAGAAGAACCAACTATTCGCGTATGCGCTATCACATGGTTCAGCTACGTGAGATGCCATATTCTCTTTGAGAAAGGAGATCACCTCTTCCTTCTCTTTCTGAGCAAACTTCCACCCTGCATCATTCCACGGCGTATGCGGAATCGTGTAGATTCTAGCCGGCTTAGCATACCTAGGATCAATTCTTCCTTTCTCCGCGTCACTGAACGCTATGGCTTTGTCGCAAGACTTAAGGACTTCCAACACTCGCTCTTTCTCCGGCTCAGTCAGATTCCCATCGCCTATGTCCATCTCCGCTATCCTCTTTTCTATCAGCCGTTGCGGCTCCTTCCTCTTCTTCTCTTTAATCTCTCTAGCGATCTCTTCTTCAGATACTCCATCCAACGTGGATCGCTCTCGTGCTACAGCCGCCGGCTTAACCTTCTGAGCTACTGTCTTGTGTCTCTTTGGTCGCCCCCCGTACGGGGCTGTGCCCTTAAAAAAGACACAGATGTCATCCCTCCGAATTCCTCATCATCTGCCTTAGGATAGGCATTCCTTCCTACACGTACCCGAGACCCTAAATCCTCGACTTTCTTCTTCTGTACGTAGGGGTCCATACTTCTTTTCGTGAAAGCTCAGGGACCGACTCGCAAGGGGAACTGGTACGCAACCCCCTTCAGCGAGAACCGCTCTGTTCAACCATGTCCGCCCCAATAATAACTCTGCGTTGCAATCCCGAACCGCGAAAATAGGCATCGTCACTCTCAGCCCTTCGACCTCAATTGCAGCCTTGTGGCAAACCCTGATGACCTTCTGGTTTCTTCCATCGGCGGTCTCTATCTCAAATTTGAATGACTTATCAAGATCTAATCCCAATCGGATAGCCAGACCCTCATTGATGAGAACAGCTTCGCTGCCATTATCAATTAGTAGTCTGTATTGTCCCGCTGCCCAGAATATAAAACTTGTCAGGGGACACTCCCTTTATCCCATTTAAGAACACCGTCGCAGCATGATCCGCCTTAGCGACCACACTTGATACTGCAACAGTGGGTATCTCCTCCTGTTTGGTCGCCATTTGGACCTCGTCGCTCAGGGGAATATGTGTCTTACACGGAATCATCTGCAATTCATCCCGTGCTGGCCTCGAGGCCGCTAAGTACTCCAGGATCGTGCACGGCATAGGCTGCCTGAGAGCGCGTCTAAGAGGTTCGACCGTGTCTATGTCATCCAGAGTACTCTTCATCGTGAACTTTCTCGCCCCATGTTTGCGCGGGGAAAGTATGACTTCTTCTCCTTCAATCCTTTGTACATCTTTCTCTGCCATTACGTAATCAGTGTCAGCCTTCTTAGAGGACGAGGCCTTGGCGGACTTAGTCGCCGCCACCCGTATGGGTGTCATAGGACTCTCCTCATCAGAAGACAGACTCAGTCTCACGCTTTGGGCTCTTGCAACCCCTTTACCCTTGTTCGGCACTTCTTGCCTAGCCTCCACGTTCTCCTTCATCGAAGGAAACATCGATACGTCGCCGAGGTTATCCGCCCACTTGACGTACTTGCGATCATCAAATACGACAAGGCCCTCATCTACTGCCTGTTTGAGGTCAGGGCAGTCTCTCTTGAGGTGATCATCTCCCCTGCAATAGATGAAGGAGTTCCTAGGGGTAGGGGGTCGTTCCTCCGCGGACCTAATCACTCGTCGTCTCGCATCCTGGTTGGATGGCCCAGGAGATCTAGGGTAGTTTGGGGACTTGGGATACCCTGGCGACGCAGGATATCCTCCTCTCTCATACTTCCCCCGTGGCTCTTCTCTACGATCACCTCTCTCTGTCCGCTCGTAACCGCTTCGATATCCATCTCGGCGGTCCCTATCTGATTCCTACCGACCGCGGGTGGCCTCTCTATCCCTCGAGTTAAAGTTGCCCTGGCTCCGGTAACCTTCGGCATCCCCACCGTATCTGGGACTGCGCGTGTACTGGTCTCTAGGACTGCGTAGATACTGGTCTCTGGGACTGCATGGATACTGGTCGGCTCTGCCCTCCCGACTGTAAGAATCTCCCGCTCTATATCCATCACGCCGGCGGTCTCTGTCTATATTATCATACCTGCGCCTCCTCTCTTCGTCCTCTCTACGTCTTCGATCGTCTTCTTCTCTGCGCCTTCGATCCTCCTCATCCCTACGTCTACGATCATCCTCGTCTCTACATCGGCGCTCATCCTCATTTCTTTCCCTCGCGCAATAGTCGGCCAGTGTGCGAGGGTTACGGTCTTCGGCGCTTCTCCACGGGTCAGTATTGCGGCGATCCCATCGTAAGGAATAGGGTGACCCAGGTTTATCCCGGTACGTAGTTCCGACCTTCGTTTCAAAATTTGCCAATTGCCTTGCCATTGCCTTCATCTTCTCTTGCATCTATTCTATGATAGCATCATTATCCTTTGACCGTTGGGGCCCATCTCTATCCATCATACAACGTCGCTCAGCCCAAGGTTTGTCGTTGAAATCTGGGCATTTGTCGGTCCCGTATTCCTGATAGAGGAAAAAGTCCCGGTGCTGCATGCCTCTCCAGAGTAAGTCCTTGTAGTCATCTGCCTCAGCCTTCATGGCCAACTTGAGTAACGCAGTGAATTCTAACTTATCGTGAGGCGTCTCTCTCAGCACTGCCTTTTGCTTTCCTTTTGGTAGCTGCCCAAGGAAGATCGTGCATCTTTCGACCTCTGACAACTTCCCTTTTGCCATAAGGGCATCAAATACCTTCTGGAACCACTTTCCGAAGGCCCGAACACTTTCGCTCTCTCCTTGGGTTAGGTGCTCCAAGTCCCGGGTAGAATACTTGACATCTTCTAGTTTGTAGAGTTCGTACAGATTGATTTTATAAGTAGCCCATCGCCTATCTTTGGGTCGAGCCTCTATAATCTCTTGACTCAAGCTTAGGTCCACATTAAACAAGAAGTTGTCTATAATCTCATCCTCCGTCCACTGACTTCGGTAGCCAATTCTGAGGGCTGATGCGAGATGATGAGCCTATCTCTCGTCTCGTATGGCAGGGAGTGTGATTCCCCTGTCTCCGGGTCAAATGCTCGTCTGGACATCGCAACTTTCTCCCTATCTCTCCAAAGCTGCTCCCTAATGAACTGGTCCCTCCAGTCTTCCCTTCCTAGGTAGCCTCTATCCTCTCTACGATCATACACAGATCGATGCTGGAAAAATGACTCCTGGCGAAAACTCGGAGGCCCGGTCTGAATCTTTGTCCGTTCAACTAGAAAGGCCTTGTTGGGCTCAACGGCGACTGGAGGCGCCATCACCTCAGGCTCTCCGTCGTCCTGCTGCTCTTCACACCTCAGAGGGATATTCTGTCGAAGACACTCTTTGAGGTCTCGCAGGGCCCGATCCGGCGACGCTCGATACACCGCCTGTTCCTCGTCCTGATGCGGCCCCATTGTATCAGATTCCATATACTTCCCCTCTTCTGATTTAGTGGGTCAACACCGACTGTCTGAACTTATGAATGAATCCGCAGTACTTATGAAAATATCCGCAGTCCGGACCTATGAAAGAAAACGCAGCCCGGACCTATGAAAGTATCTGCAGCTCGGACCTATGGAAGTATCCGCAGCCCGGACCTATGAAAGAAAAACAATCACTCGTGTACGACCGCTCTCAGGATCACAACGAGTCTCCCAGCCTCGTCTCGTATCTCGTGCTCACCCTCGATTCCTAGAATCCCTGAGTCAAAATAAAGTTCTCCCTCCTGCTCCTCTATGCAACGAACATCTCTCCTAATCTCAATAACTCCGGACTCTGATATCCTTACTCTCCTACAAATCCCTGTCGCGATCCTCCTCAACTCTTCCGGTGCACAAGATCTCAAGTACTCCCGTATATCAACAGACGCTCTTCGCGCTAAATCGCTTAACCCATGTTGCACAACGCGAGCTCCTGCCCGCGGGTAATCACCCCCTACGGCCATCAAACTTAAAGTATCGAAGTGCTAAGCCAACCACTGCCTCATTGCTTCTCCCTCGAAGCACCTCACGCGGTACAGGAGGTCTGGGTAACCCCTGAAAGAGCGTAATCCGGGTGTCCCAGATTACCTCATTACCGAGCGCCAAGAGCCTATCCCGCTCATTCTCAACGACTTCTTCCGCGCGCTCCCAGCATCGACCGCTAACCCAATCGCCTTCTCGTTCAACTGGGAGGTAAATCCTAATATCATACACCTCCAGGACAAAGAACCGAACGTTGATAATGTAAAAACGTATTTGCTCCCATCCGCTGTCCACTAACTCGTAAGTCACTACTTCGTACAGAATCACTTCTCTTCGCCGCAAAGAACTCAACTGGTCGCAGACTTTCGCCAACTCCGTGTCCGAAGGTCTGTTGCCCGGGAGAAACCTCTCTCTCCTAGCTTCTAGCTCGCGCTCAGGGATGGTCGTATTTTTATTCATCCGCGCATCCTATTCATCCTTAACGGTCTTTTTGAGCTTGCCGTCATTCTTGACTGTCCGAGCGAATCCAACTACAGCCTTCCATTTGTTCTGCTCTAGCACTTGGTATGGAACAGGCGGCCTAGGCAGACCGTCAAAAATAGTGATGTCGTCGCCGACCTCCACAATCTTTCCTAGACTTCCTAACCTCTTTTCCTCTTCTCTCAATGCCCACGCAGCTCTCCTCCAAGTCCTTCCGTATATGCAAAATTCTTCCCTTTCTTTAGGCAGATAAATACCAACGTGATATACCTTTAAGTCATGAAACCGGACGGTCATAATACAGTATTGATTGCGTTCAATTCCACTGCTCTGCACTTGGTACTTAATTACCTCGTACGAAAATACTTCTCGCCTTCCTAGCGCGCTCAATCCCTTAAGTACCCTCTCGTGCTCGAATCCACTAGGACCACTCCAACCTTCGAATTTCCACCTTCTCCTTGTTAGTTCCTCCTCTGATAGTGGCATCGCTTACAATCTCCATAAAGTGTCTAACATTCCGCCTCTATTAGGGCTAAGGCCAAGAAGATCCTGTCCGTCGATTCCTCCAAAAGCTGATAGAACGTCTCAAAATCGTCTATATCCCCACAGTCTTCGATCGCAGCTAGGGTCCAGAGAAACTCACTCCGGTACTGTTCGTGTGCTTTGTAAATCCTTAAAACAGAACTCTCTGTTATGACCGTAGCAAAGTCTCCCGACACTTCGGCTTCTCTCTTCAGGAGTCTCTCCGCTTTCTTAGGAGATTCGCGCCACTCTCTACTCAGGGTCACTCCATCGTAGGGGGACAAGTGCAGTGAATAGTAGATCAGCCGTGCACTTCCCTCTCCTACCCAGAGCCCAGTCACTCGCGCCTTCTGAACTGCTTCTCTAGTGCTCTCAGCTTCTTCAATCACGGTAAGCCTCTCT